CACTTCATCAACGTAGTTCTCCATCTGAGCTTCTATGGGGAAATCAACTGGAAACACCTCCGAAGTTTTTGCCTCGGCGTTTTCCTCATTTTCAGGCAAAGACACCCGCTTCCTTCTGCGGCGTTTCTTTACAGGCGAGACCTGAGGCGAGGAGGAAGCGTCGTGGACCACATCCTCATCGGTGTGGGTTTCGTGCACTAACGGGATGACTGTGGAGTCGGTTAAATGCGGAAGACCCTTTTCCTCCAAGATGCTGTAATCTGTGGAAGTTAAACTAAAAAGCGAGCGCACACAGCGCAGGGAGACTTCAAAGCCAAGAAATGACTGTGCTCCTCCCAACAGAGGCAGCGCCAAGTCATGCCGAGCTTCTCGTCTCTCATCCAGAAGCTTTGCAAACGGCGGATTGAAAAAATCATAAACCACGTCATCGCACACACGATACAGCGCATGATGCGAATGCTCACCATGCGTTAAAATATCTCTCATTATCAGCAGAAACGGAGCATTAAAGAAAACACTACCAATTCCTTCAAGCAGAAGAGTGCGAATCAAATACACTAAACCATTGTTCACATCCACCTCATTGGCTCTCCAGTGACGAAGTGAGGTGAGAATAACCCTCATGTTTTTCACAGTGGCAATCCTTTTAAAATAACTTCCTATGCTCACCTCTCGCTCTGAACTCAAGGTAGACAGATTAGCATGACTACCTGAAGTTAACGATGCATTTTCCAAAGAAATTCCTCTCCCCTCGCCTGAAGGTGAGGTAGTCCCCTCCTGAGTCACGTGTACATCCTTCAAAAAAAGTGGCGCCGGTGACACCACCGCCGCTTCACCCCCCTTCGCTTCGGCAGTGGCGTAATCCTCATCCCCAGTTCCGCCCTGCACCTCCTCTGGGGAATCCAAACCATCCATGCCCGTTCGCTTATGCTTTCCCAACATCTCCGCATTACCCGTGTCCTCCGCTTCATAATTCACAGTGGTCTCATTATTCTTCTTCTCACGTTTGGGAAACAAGACATTTCCTCTAAAACTGCATTTTTCCATGAGAGTGAGGACAGAGTGCATCAATAGCACAATTATCCCGGCTTTACCCGGTGGCAAAGCTTTGGCCGAAAACCTCGAAACGGAGTCAAAAATCAATGTGATATTTCCCTCGTTATAAAGCACGGATGAGGCCAGGGCATGTGCGGCAACTACAACAGATGTATCTTTTATAATATCACCATCAATTAAAAGATTCAGGGTCATGAACAATTCGGCTAGATAGGCTACCACATTAATCACATCAAATCGTCGTTTAAGATCCAGGGAGCTTAAGAAGACGCGAAGTAATTCAAAACCATAACGAATATGATCAAGCGAAATCACACTAGAAATGGATTTCCATTGTTGATGAAAGGCATCCGAAGGAACCTCACCGTTTTCCTCGCGGTTTAAGCGGACCACCTCACGTGTATAACGAAGTAATGATGCACATATGTTTATGTAATCAAAAACCGTTTGTGCCGACTCCAAAACAGATTTTTCAATCTGAGTGGGGAGCTCTATATCTTCACCTGAGGATTTGTATCCTGCTATCAACTCGTTGCGCTCCCTGACGACGTCATCAAACCCAGTAATAATATGGGCCAATCGGCTCCATACCATCATATTCAGAGGCTCAAACCCAAAACAAATAAAGGAAAGGCATTGTTGAGAAAGTTGTATTTTTGTTGGTAATGGCAGAATCCATGTCGTGTCAGAATTATCAGACATACCTTTAATAAAGCGAGCGTTTTTTCGTAAATCTATGTCTTGGACCTTTTCCAGTGGATCTTTGCTTCGCAAACCAAGAAGCGTTGAAGTACAACCTATTGCCCCATTTTCTCCTTGCATGCGCGAAAAAGGTGTACCACGTACAAGTACACCATTCGAGCTGATCGCTCCGTTGCAACTTCTTGCTACGTGTCTCCAGCGATCTAATTCCTTCTTGCACTCCCGAAGCCGCTTTCCGCTTTCAAAAAGTCCCATCATTTGCTGTGAAGATTGTTGATGAAATTTTGACACAAATCCAAGTTGTGCCAGTTCTGCCGGATTCGCAGAACGGAGAATGGCTGACATCGCCGTCACCATGTGTATATTCCACTTCCAAAGCTGCTCATCGCACTCCAAGAGTTCTATAATGCGCGCATTATATTGCTCCGAAACAATATCACTTTGTTCTGTGGAAGATTCCTCAGCGTCAGAGCTCCCACCCTCACTTTCCGCTTCTTCTTCCGCCTCCTCCTCTCCTTCCTCTCCAGCATCATTGTACGCATTGTCATTTATTTGCTGCTCCTCGTGGCCTTGCTTGTCCTGCAGCTCTATCGCAACCTCCTCATCCAGGACAACCATTTCCAATTCCTCTTTGTTTTGGGCATCCAACAACACGACATTAGAAGCACCATTTGTTTTTTGCTCGGAATTGGGGTGTAACACCTCTTCCAAATAGTCTGCCTCAGTTGAAGCCTTTTTCGCTTCACTCCGGGCATAGTTCTGGTTAATAATGACGAGAAAAAGCTCAATACCATGATTTCTAGCAAACGCTCCAATCACCGGTGGCATGGTTTCCTTTGGCCCAGTAAAGAAAAGCGTAATCATTTTCAGAACAACTTCAAGTAAGACAACATCGTCTTTCTGTATGACGCTGTTTGAACGTTTTTCGGCGACTGGAGCCACTGACTGAATCAGAAGCGCGAAAAACTCATCCGTTCCGCATCGTTCCATGAGACGGCGAACAAAATCCATCTGACGTGGTCGCTCCGTTGAATACAAAGGAACTGGCAAGAGCATAGCAGTTAGTAACTTAAGCAGCTGCGGCAAAAGTGTAGAACTAAAATTCATTCCATGAGCCAAAAGTAGCGGAATCACAACATTTTCCATCACCATCATTTCACTTATAAAAATAAAGTCTTGTCGGCCCAGTTTTCGAAGATCAGGGGAAAATGCTATATTCTCAAATTCAGATGTTTTCTCATTTTCATCCTCGCTGTCGCTATCATCATAAAGCTGCTTTTGTCGAAGAACCTCGATATTTTCCTCTACACGTGCATGCTCTCTCAAAACACGATTCCGAAGTAGTTTTGCGGCTGAGCACGCCTCAGCTACCCTTTGCTCACTAGGCGAGCGAGCCAATGGAATGTTTAACGCACTAATTGCATTGAGGATTTGCCTTTTTACAGCCTCAGAGGACATATATATATATATATATATATATATATATATATATATAGTA